AGCCACGCCCCCGCGCCTTCTTGCTGCAAGAGCTGAAGATGCGCCCGAAAGGTTTCCCGACCAGGAGCAGGGGCCGCGAGCCTGGCGACCACGACACGGTCCAGTGCGCGTGACAACTCTTGTTGTCTGACAGGTTGCGGGGCTGGGACCGGGAGGTGGTCGGCCGGCGGAAGGGCCAGGTTCACCAGGTTGAGAGCAGCATTGAAGTCAGGGTCGTCCATATCTTTGCACAGTGGCGCAGTAGCCCACAAAGAAGCAGCGTAGCCGGCGACACTGTGCCGGGCCACGCTGCGGAGCCCGAGCCCACCACACCGAGTGGAGAGTGTTGCTTGGAGCCACGCTTCCGCAGTGAGGGGCCCGCTGCAAGCCACTTCGAGGCAGCCTCTAACAGCATTGTCAAACGCTTCCAGGGAGGGGCCAAGCCCATCAGGAGGGGTGACTCTGATGGAGTAAGCCATCCGACAATGGGAGGCACAGTGGCGGAGGAGCAAGAGGGCAGCTTGGGCATCCGGCAAGACAGCCAAAGCGTCTAACAGTGGCAAAGCTTTGGCAACTCGCTCCGAGGTCGTGAACTGGTTGCAGAAACTACCGTGTCCAATGGGCTCCCCCAAAAGGCTGAAGGTCCCGGCTTGGTTGAGGGGAATGCCGGGTGGGAAGAGGCTCATGTCCACAGTGGCTGCGGCCCCTGGTTGACTTGCAATCCGACCTGGCGTGCGGCCGCCGTCAAGCGGACCAAGCCTGCGCTGACTTGACGATATGAGCCAGCCAAGCACACATCATCCAGGTAAGCCACCACCAGCAAGGGTCGAAGTTCCGGAGGGCCTCCACGGGCAGCAGCTTGGAGGGCCGGCTGTAATGCTAAGGAGAACAACAAAGGGCCAAGCGGGTCACCTTGTTGGATGCCGGTTTCAGAACTCAAAGGCGAGCCTTGGAACAGCAGCCGCGAGTGGAGACCATAGCACCACTCAGCCCAAGGGGACAATTTGGCAGGCGGAGGCGAGTCTCGCGGAGGAGAGAAGCCCGGTCGACTGTGTTGAAGGCATTGCTGAAATCAATTTTGAGGAGAACCTGTTCAGCCTGCCCTGCATGCCTCTGCGCCCAGTGTCGCGCAGTGTGGACAACTGCTTCAGTGCCATGGCGGGTGGCCACCCCAACTTGTAAAGGGCATAGAAGATCCCGGGCAGAGTTGCGCACGTCGGAGCAAAGGCACTTGGCAGTCAGCCGCCGCAAAACTTCCCCAAGTGCGATGGGTCGCACATCGTCAACCCCTTTCGGCAATGCGTGTAAGGAAGCTCCAGCAAGGTGGGGCGCAATCGCCTCTCCGCGGATGAGCAGCTTCACAACATCGGCAAGCTGGACAGCCATCTCGTCTCCATGAGGGGAAGCGAGGGCCTCGCGAAGGTGGTCACCTCGGAGGCCAGTGGGGCCCGCGGCACTCCCACGGCTGAAGGAGCGGATGGCCTGGATGACGTCCTCCACCGCCATCTCGGGCACAGCAGCTAAGGCAGGCAGCCCTAGAGCGACGAGAGCCGGGCGGGCAGGGGCGGTCCGGGAGTGTTTGGCTTGCAGCTTGGAAACAACATCAGTCGTGTGGCGGAGACACCAGGGCAGCACAGGCACGTGAGAGTTCCCCTTCAGCGGCCAAGGCACAGCATCGGGCCTGCCTGGCAGCCTGCGCTGCCTCTTCATCATCGTCCCGAGGCCGGCGACGGCGAGGACCGGGCAAGTCTCCCCAAAGTTCCTCGCGCTCACCAGCCAGCCATCTGGCACAGCGCCGCTGGGTGAACTGCGCGGCCTGGAGGCGGTGCCGGCGTCCTCCACGCGGAGCAGGGTGGAGCACCGCCTTGGGGAGCATGAAGAAGTCCCGCCACGCTTCTTAGTTGTATTTAGCTGTATTTTTGTATTTTTTATTTTTTTTTTGGGCCTGAGATATTTTTTTGTATTTTTTTGTTTGGCTAAGCTATTTGAGAATCTCGTTTGCTTCAACAATGGCTGATTTGGAATACCCTTTGCAACCCTAACTTGTGACATCTAAGACATGTACAGAACATTTTTTTTGTTTCCTTGGTCCTTTCCTTTGCAAATTTCATACATATTCGTACACTTTTTTCACTTTCCATTGGCTCTTTCAATTTTCTCGTCGAGGCAGCTGAAGAGGTATTTGAAATTATTGCTGGTTTATTTTTATTTCTCGTTTGCAATTTGGGTCAGTAGCTGTCAAACACAACAGCAGCATTGCTGCTTTTGCAATGGCAGATGGCTTCGATCCAAGTGGCATGTCTTGGGCTTGAAATGGGGCTCACAGTTCCGTATTTCGTGTCATCACCCAGAGCTGGGAACTTGGTTGCGCACGCCATGGGGTGTTGACTGCAGGGTTCTAGCCATAGCGGATTGACAAGCGTCTGAGCAAACAATGAAATCACAAAGCCCATTTACATGCAAAAAAAATCCAAAAGCATGAAAGGACAAAGGCGGGCTCTGGAGCTTCAGGAGAGCGGTGGCTGTTCGGCTGCTTCGGCTCAGCATGTCCACGCAGCGAGGAGGGCTGTTTCGGCCCTTCAGACTCGGCTCCTGCTTGCGAAGTGTTTTCAAATTTTGACCAAGTGAGGCTGCTTCGGCATTAGCGGTAGCTGTTTCAGCCAAGCCCTTGCAGCATCAGGTCAGCTGCTTCCGGCTGTCAAAGCTGCTTTGGCTGGTTTTGACATTGTTCCGACTTCTTACTTTGAAGCTGCGTTACATACTTAGTCAGTTTTTGTACATAGCAGGTCGCGATGGACTTTTCGCAAAAATAGGAATTGGCTGGGGTGGGTTGAAGCGTCAGGGTAAAGACTTGGGGTTTCTGGTCGAATCTACCAATGGGTTGAATCTAAGAGACGATTACCCACAAATATTGGGAGATTCAACGAAAGCTTTGATTTGGAGACAGTCTTGGCTACTTAATATGTGCTTTTTTGTCCTCTCCTTAGGAGCATCAAAAAAAAATAAACGGACCTCGAATCAACGGGTGGGAATGTCCTCTCCTTAGGAGCTTCGGGGTTGTCCTTGAACCTCCTAAGGGGAGGACGACAAGGGGACGAAACTGGAATACTCTTAAGTATGAGTTTTTCAAAGGCCTTTGTCCCATTGTTGTCCTCTCCTTAGGAGCCTCGGGGACGTCCTTGAACCTCCTAAGGACAGGACGAATTGTCCTCTCCTTAGGAGCATGCCTGAGATCCGCTTCGCTTCAGGAGCCTCGGCTCAAGCACTTCACGGAAGCTTGTGGCTGAAAACTGGCCACACCATCTCTACGCCAAAGAGGTGGCAACTGTCTCGGCTACTGTAGCTGTAGCTGCTTCGGCCACTTAGCTGCTTCGGCTTTTGGTGGCTGCTTTGGCCACAAGTATGCCACCGCGGCATCGACCAATGTCAGATCAGCTGGAAAGGGCCGGATCTTAGCCACATAGACTGCGGCGGGGTGCTGTCTTCAAAGTCGGATGTGAGATGCAAAAAAATGACAAGTGGAAAAGTGGATAAACATGCGTTGCGGCAGCTGCAGACACCCTGTAGACTTAGTTCAGCAAACAGCAATTGATTTATAACAGGTGCAATTTCAATTTCAATTGCAAGGCGTTTCCTTCTGCAGCTGTTTCAGCCCAAGAAAGCTGACTCAGAATCGGCCAGCTGTGCACTCTGTAGTGCTAAGGACCCTTTAAATCAAGCAAGCTGAAAGAGATCTGCGCTTAGTCCAAATAAGGATAGTTGGAACTTTGGGGCTCGAAAAGCGGTTTCAGAAGCACCGCAAGTTGAAATGCAGCAAGTGGGGATCTCGTGGGCCGCCCATGTTGCATATTAAGAAAGAGGGGCCAAAGATGACTTTGCCAAAGCTGAAGTCGGCTTGGTATTCCAACCGTGGCTGTTTCAGCCAAGGTCTGTGTCGGATTTGTTGGATGGTGGCTGGTTCGGCCATCAACAGGTCTGTTTCAGTTTTTAACCCAATTGCTTCAATCAAAACGCAAAAAGATATTTGCAAAACTCGTCTGCTACCGGGGGAAAAAGCGTGGCCACGGCTCTTGAGATATTTTTCTCAAAGTTGGTGTTGAGCACTGTGTCGCATATCTTTGTCGCGACTAAGTTGCAGTCTTAAGTTTGCGTTGGTCTTTTACATTCTACTTCAAGGTGGTTTATTGTGAAGCCCCTCTTGTTATGTTGCGGCAAAGTTCAAGGAAGAAAGATGTGAAAGATATTTGGTTTTCTCGTTTGCACCTCTTCCTTTTTGTTGGATTTCTCGTTGACGGCCCAAAAAAAAAAAATACAAAAATACAGCTAAATATAAGTAAGGCTTGCAAGGTGTTGTTGCCTGCCACTTGCCCAAGGGCGCGAGAAAGGCATTGTGCCCAAGCGGCTCGCGCAACTTTGGGGACGTGCCGGACGACTGGGGCGGGCTCAGCGAAGACGGCTTCAATGGACGGCCCAGGCAGCGCCAGGCCTGCGGCAGGGACTGGCACGACAGCTCGGCGAGCTGCTGGCCGACAGCGTGGGTGCGCACCATTGAAAACCCCCCACAAACCGAGCACAGGTCAAGGTGATGGCGAGCCCGATAGGCCTGGGGGACTTCCCCTTCCAAGGTGCCAGCGGCGTGATCTTCAAGGTGCGGTCGCATGGCTGCGTGGGAGGTCCAGCCACGGCCAGACGAAGCAGCGGCGGGGCACCCAGGAACAGGGCAGAAAACCCGCTCAGTCTGGCGAGCTGCTCACGCGCCCCTGGCCCAGAGGCATCAACCACCATAGGCTGCCGCTCGCCGCCGACAGGGGTGCCAGGGGCTGGAGGCCCTGGATTTGATGCCTCCCCCACACGGATCCCGATGAAGCCAGTGCGGCGGCGTAGTCGCCGGCGGAACCTTCCACGGCCTCGGCGGGGCACCCAGCAAGCCCGGCGCCGGCGCCAGCGGATGGAAGGGAGCATTGGATCAAGGGGCAGCGCAGAGCAGGCCCATGCCTGCAAGAGGATGGAGGTGAGCTGGCGCCGCTGATGGTGACTGGCTCATCCAAGTGGTTGATGCCGACGTTCCGGCAATGGTATGCCGCCAGGGGCAAAGGTCGACTGGCCAATGGTTGGCAGAGGATGAGGGCAGGAGAGCAGGGACAGAGCCACTAGCCGGGGCAGCGCCCAAAGGAGGAGCACGCCGCAGGAAGCCATGGCGGGCCGCTGCTGGGCGGTGCAAGCAAGCAGAGGGGGCACACAGAGGTGCTCACACTTGAGGCCCACGGCACCGCTTGCCTGCACCCCCGAGCAACAGCCTAGGTAAGACCCCCAAATCTTGGCAGGCTCTATGTTAGCTGGTATCGTCTGTTGGGTTAGCCCAGATCATTACCCCGTGGAAGCCTGGGTGGTTCCGCCTTTGGGGAGCAATATTAGCGGCTGTAGCGCCGACGGCCGCTGCGAATTCAAGATCAAATGGGTTTGCTGGAGTCACTCAAGGATTGCCGCAGAACTCCAATGAAGCCTTTTTTTCTGCAGAACCAATACCCTCTGGTAATTTGTTACATAGCTATTGAAGCCATGGCCATAGAAATAGTGGATTTTCCCAGCTATAACATGGTGGATCTTTCCATAGTTTTTTGTATGTTTACCAGAGGGTATTACATGAAATCCCATTTAAAACATACTAAAAAACCAATAAGATCAAACATGATCCAATGATTTTCCCATCATTTTCCAATTAAAAACCAATAAGATCATCATTAAGAACTCAAATGACTTGATTTTAAGAATCCAAGACGACCGGCTGCGGCCCTGCAGGCATCTGCAGGCCATGAGGTTTTTGCCCAAAAGGGCCTCTTTTTTTGCGATGTCTGCTGCATCGAAGCGGCCCAAGATTGGTACGACTCTATGGTCAAGTGAAATGAATAAATATACATACAAGGTGGTGCCCCCATAGTTATAAGTTGGTTTATAATCCCCATTAACTATAGATATAACCCCCATAAACCCTAGTTAGTTATTGGACTTATAAACCAACTTAGCTAACTATGGCGCACCACCTTGTATAATAGTCTAATAAATGTATAATAAGCCTTATATCATAACCTCTATATATATACATATATAATGAAGAAAATTAGCATAAACTAGCCCATATCCCAACTATATTTGCCATGGTCAAAATCTGGTATATGTGGTATGGTCATCCATCCCACAATGGGCATCCAAAAATAATGAGCATATAATATATATATATATATATATATCATTAAATCCCCAAAAAAAATTGATTGCAATTTGACTCAGGATGATGCAAAAACAATGGCATATAAATCAACAACAAAAACTATAGAAGCTGAGCAAAAAAAAAAAACAACAGTTTTTGACTCTTGACCATGGCAATGGGACCCCAAAAATCCATTGGTCACTGGTCATCCCGGTCATCCCGCAACCCTCCAAGCTGGTGAAGTTCATATCGGTGGGAAAAAAGTCCCCAATCCGTAAGTTGACCTGCAAAAAAATATTTGGTGACCTAAGGTATGATGATCCTAACGAGCTACTACTCACTATTCCATATATTTCCCATCGATATTCCAATTGTTTAATATCCCCAATTTAGGTAAGATATCCCAGTATATCACAATCCCCTATAGATCCAGTCGTACCTTCTGAAAGGAAGTGGGACTGGGGTATCATTTACTATCATTTGGAGGGTTATATAAGTACCTTCTCAGACAGTGGCCATGGATCCATAGGGTATCTTATCTATCTAATATCTCACAATATACATCAATCCAAGAAAATTGATCACGTGATACAAAATATTACATCATATATTTTTTCTCTGGATGCTTGCGAATTCACGACTTTGGTGGTATTCGGAATGGAAATGATGGGAAGATGGGATTTTTTTCCGGCCAAAATCCCCATGGATTTCGCATCATTTTCCCGGTGATCCCGGCCATGGTACGTGGTTGCGCCCGAAGGCCCCCTGCAGATCCAGGCGCAAGGCTTGTTTCAGGCTCTTCAGTGCCTGGACAGTGGCCCAAGGCGGCCCTTAAGGGCCGGGTGGGATAGACCTTGGACCTTGGACCGTGGAAAAAATGGATGTAAAACTTGGAATAGCTGTCTAGATAGCTGTGATAAATAAATAGGAAAACACCATAACTTGGACCTTGGCACCAGGAAAAGAAGGATTGATCTTTGAACATGTGGACATTTGAGCAAGAAACATTGGAATCGGTGACCTTTGAATTCACACAAAAAAGCGGAAGCATATGTTTGATCAAAAGGAAAGCATCAAGCGACTACTCATCATGAGTTTCATCAACGTTCTACTTGGTGAAACTGTAAAATTGCATTGCTAAAACACCATTTGGCCATAACTCAACCATACTCAACCCATTTGAGCTCGAACGAACACTGCGGATATTCCACATGTACCCTCCTCCGAACATACTGTACAAAATACCCTCTGGTAATTTAACATAGCTATTGAAGCCATGACCATAGAAATAGTGGATTTACCCAGCTAGAAAATGGTGATTTTCCATCGTTTTTTGTATGTTTACCAGGCCGGGTAAGATGTTTTAAACAAAACTCACCATGACGATCCAAACTTCCGACCGGCTTTCCCCATGGCTTCTCCACAGAAAAACAACGCCAAAACGCCCGTGCCGCAAAACCGCCGCCTTGGGCGCTGTGTCTGCCAGAAATCCCAAGAGACCCTCCTCATAGGCGGGCAAATACTTCACAGGATCCTGCGGAGAGAAACGAAACCGGGAAAGTGAAACATGTGACCAGATGTCAATGGCCTTTTTTTACCGATTGATTGGAGCTACGAGTACCATTAATATTTTTGGCCTATTTTTTAGGCCTAAATTTCAGGGAAGATCCCCAGAAAATATGGTCTTATATGGTACTAACGTACTTCCATTTTAGGATCCTGAAGATCTCCCACTGAAGATGTGGCTGTGTCCTTCACATATGCAAAAAACCTCCAAATGGCTAATAGGATCATAGGAAAAATTCATGATCCCATGGATTTAGATGTACACGATTTTCAGATAAAGCCATGTAACAATTCAGAACGGCAGGATTTAGATAGAACATCACTAAAAATCACGAAGAAAAATTGATAAAAATTGGATTTAAGCAACAAATATTTGATTATAGTGGGGGTACAATGGGATAGAGGGATATAATGAAACTTTGATTTAGATCATGTGTGACAAAACAAAGCGATTGGAGTTACATCTTTAGTGCCTATGAATATGATGTATTCCCCAAAGATGTCGAAGAGATTTTCCAACTCTATAATCCATAGTGGTGTAGTTCCATGATCTATAATTATATATAATCCCACTAAAACACTATCTATTGTTCTTGATAGCTAATATGTCCATTGTCACATTAATATATGATTATAGATAGTGTTGATAACATCAACCATTATGGTTTATAACTATCAACAACATCAAATTGGGAACTTTATTGATATAGTTGATCATCATTACTATTGTATATCGTTATATATATATATACAACTACTATAACCATAGAGTGTGGTCAACCATTGACTAGTAGTAAGCTTAATCCCAATGGATTATCAACAAAGTGGATTAGATATTATATTAGTGGATTAGATTAATCCCAGTGGTTGATTTGTTATATATAACAACACTTATTGTTCACCATGGTTGTTATATATCTAATCCCAATCTGGTTGGTGGTGCAATAACCATCTTGAAAAATATGAGTTCGTCAGTTGGGATGATGAAAATCCATATATCAGTTTATCTGATTGGTTAAATATGAAAGTCAGTTGGGATTATTATTCCCAATATATATATATACATATTACCCTCCGGTAAACCAACATAGCTATTGAAGCCATGGCCCAGTCGAAAGTTCGTGGATTTTCCCATTAAAAAAATGGTGGACCTTTCCATAGGTTTTTTGTCAACGTTGACCAGGCGAACCACCAACCAGCAATGGATCCACGGATCCGCCTGAAGCACTTTCTTCTCTAAGCCCGGCTGGGCGCTCTGCAGCGACTTCAGCTCCAAGGGAATGCGCAGATCTGCGACGACGACATGCGGCACGGCTGGGAGATGTTTTTCACCATGGAAATGTGGAGATTTCTTGGTTGAGATGTGTTAAGATATGCCAGTAAACTCAGTAAAATCATGAAATGTCCTTTTTATGTGGAGATTTCTTGGTGAAGATATGGTACCCTCTGGAAACTGTTACGTAACTATGGAAAGATCCACCATTTTATAGCTGGGTAAATCAACTATTTCGACTGGGCCATGGCTTCAATAGCAAACTGTCTGTTTGCCAGAGGGTAAGATATCCCATTTCATAGCAAAATCATGAAATTTCCATGATATTCCATGGATTATATCCCCTTTAATATCCCTATTGTTGGTCAAGATCTCCCATATCACGTCATCATGTCCCTCAAAGAAGTGGTTGATGAAGTGGTTAAGACGTGGTGAATCAGTGAATAAGCCTAGTAATGATCAATAACTTGTTAATCAGTGGTAATATTCCTATTGATGTTAACCACTCATATTGTAGGATTATAGACTCACTGATTATAGACTACATTAGACTACTAATGACTGATTATAAATTAGTTAATCTTACTGATTATAGACTCGCTAATGTTAATAACCATTACTGACTTACTAAGTTAGATGTGGTGAATCAGCCTAGTTAGGCCTAGTCCCGATCCCTGGAGTTATTCCATTCATAAATGTTTTTTTTCAACTCTGGTTACGAGGCAATGACTAAGTGGGATGATAGTCCAAGTAGCCTACAAAGAAATGCTGGGTAATAGCATATTAAAAAACAAAAATAATAACAGCCTACACAGTGGGGAAATGGTGATATAAACACCAATAGTAGGATAATTCTGGATAATTGGAATCTAAAATCGACCATAACTAGGATATAATCGGGATAGCCCATAGAGAGGTTTTTTGTTGGGAAAATCATAGGAATACCACAGGAAAATATGGGACATGTCCTTTATAAATGCATCTCTGTTCATTACCAGTTTGTTTTGCCGGATATGTTAAAATTTGTTTCGAACATTTTACCCTCTGGTTATGACTAACATAGCCATGGAAAATGGCCCATTTATAGATGGTTTACCTATTAAAAATGGTGATTTTCCATGGCTATGTTAGTCATAACCAGATGGTACCATTGATGTGAGCATTGTTTCAATGGGAATGTCGCCATTCCCAAAGCTTCTTTATCTCCGGTGATTATCGAGCCAGGTGGGTTGGGGTTCCCTTCCAAAATTCATACAAATCAGGAAAGAAGAAAGACATGTGTGAACACGTCATTTTGAGGATACAGTAATGCATTTGCCTCGAAAGTTCACTTTTTTTGCGTTTTCGAGGTGCTTGCTTTTGACCTATATCAGATATATATATATATATGTATATACATACCTGCCTTGCATGTCTGCATGTTTTGGTCTAGTATGCATATCCCACCAATTCTTCACATGATCCCAGGATTTATTCATTTGGTACCATATGTGTTACCTGCAAACCTATGTACAGAAAAACTGGCGTCTGCACAGCGGTTCTCGCAGCGTCTTCGGGAGTGCATCCACTGAGACGTATGCAAGGGATGGTTCGTCGCTGGGCTTACCACATCAAAACTGAGTGTGAAACTGGGTCAAACCATGGAAAAGGAGCGATAACCGCCAAAAAAAAACTATAGCTCCAAAATACCTTCTGAGACTGGTATTCTGGTTTGAAAGATATCTGTCAGTCTTTGACCTATCAATTCGCTCGCACCTCCATTTGCAAGGCGAAGTTCGATCTTTCGCTCCCATTCTTCCCTCACAGCAACAGCTGACTGGCCGATCAAAACAACTTGACTCGATGGTTTAATGATTAATGGTATTTGAATGGTGTGTTAATCGTGTCTAATGGTGTTTTAATGGTGTCTAATGGTGCTTATATAATGAGGATTGAAGATGAATTACCCTCTAGTAATCAAGCACGGCTAGCTAGAGAATCCCGCATTTTGAATGTTTTTCCAATGCCATTTTGCTATATTTGACTGCAGGAGAGTACAGCATTGGTGGTTTTGGGGGTGCCAGCAGCCAGTTTTCAGAGGCATCTGGGAAGCGGCCATGGTGATGAACCATTTTTGCACATCATTTGCGCAGTTTATACGTTCCCAGGCGAAGTGCGTTCAAAACCTGCAACGTCGTCCCTTTGGCTGGTTCAGAACGGATTTCCTAGTTCAAGGACTGTGATCATCCCCAATATATTGGATAGTAGAAATCTATATAAGAAAATTAAGGAAAAAACCAAAACCGGGTTGCTAAGCAGCCACTGCTCAAGTGAAAGTGTGTTGAAACTGTTGATGGCTAATTATAGCATGATTAGTGTTGACGTTTATGCGTCTCCCAGCCCTTCTGCAGAAGCCCTCACCCCTCACCTGTTGTTGTACAAGTACTCCTTGAACCATGCCACCTGCAGCCAGTGGCTGCAGAGTTACCGATCATTGAGATGTCACTTTTTCAGTACTGGTGTCATCCTCTGGAGTTCGGTGAAGTAACTCGTCAAGTTTCATCCTCTAGATTTATGATGTCGAGAGATCTTCATTCATTGGAAAATGGAAAACAGTTAATTTTATGAAAAAAACAAACAATAAACAATAAACAGTTTTGTTCTTGTTTTTTTGATTATTTGCTGGTTTCCAGTAAAATGAAGCATTTTGCGTCATAACTCTAGATTTGTGAAGTGCTACCCAGGAAACCGTTGAACGTTGTTTCAACAATTAATCAGTAAAACATATGTAAAAAACTCTAGATCAATCTCCACCATAAATTCAAAAAGTTCTGAAAAAGAAACCTATCAAGTCGTAGTGGTTTTGCCAGATCTTCGCTGCTGAATTTCAGTTGACCGACCGACCGTTAGGGGGTTTAAAGTGGGATATGTTTAAATAAACCTATGGATATGTGCATCATCTAACTTTATGGATACCCTCTGGTAATTTAACATAGCTATTGAAAATGGCCATTTATAGTGAGTTTTCCCATTAAAAACTGTGATTATCCATAGCTATGTTAAATTACCAGAGGGTATTTTCCACCTTTAGTATTTTGGAGCGTGATTAGAGTGGGTTTTAATAAATCCATCTAGCCTCAGCTCAACAGCCCAAGTCACTCAAGTCGTGTCTGATTTCGCCTGATTTCCACCTATTTCCATGGCATTCATCAAGAAACCTTTGCATCAATCATCCTATCATGGAAAAGACGAAAAATATGTGCTTGAAAACCTGAAGTATGTTTGATGTTTGAACCAAGACAAAGAACACCACCATGTGTGGTGAACACAAAATTTAAGGATGATTACCCTCCGCTGTCATCAAACATTGCCATTGAAAATCCATGGAAATCCCAAATATTTATAGAAGTTTTAATGGAAACATCAGCTATCCTGGATTTTCATGGGTTTTAAATGATGGATTTTCATGGGTTTTCGCTTGCTTTTCCTGAGATCCACGTCTTTGCTGCTTCAGACTCTCCTTGGGGGTCCATTCCCGCCGTCTGGGTATCCCTCTAGAACTGGGATGGTGACCCACATGGTTGGTCGGGCGACTATATGGCAGGCTTACGAATCTCACAAGTGTGTCCCGCTAATCCACCATGAATTTCTTGGTTCGGTTGATTGCCCATGTTCCACGGTTGTCCGGGTACCCCAATGATGGCATTGGGTTTAACTCGCTAATCATTGTCATCAGATATCTCGTTCTACCCCAACTGGACACCCATGGATTTTTGGGTAAATTGCTGTCTATCCTCCCACAAATATGGTAATATAAGGTAATATATAGGTTTTGACCCATGCTAAGTACCATCCCTGAAAACTCACCACCAGATCGTGAGAATCTTTTGTCCTTTGACAAAATGTAGTCTTCCAACCCCAACTGCTAGCAGGATATGTCACTACTCTTTGGCAGTTTCAAACCTGGCAATGGCAATGGCTCCTGGTTGATTTTTATGATGTTCCTATAGTAAAACCTCCATTTCTAGGCAATTTCCTATGTTATCCATGTTTTTTTTGTACCGAAGGGTAGCATCTATGTCAATATCCCCCCAAAAACATCCCAGTGTCACGGTTGATTTTAGATCCCAATCATCATCCTAGGCCTATTTTTGGTCATATGGGGATGGGTCAAAACCCTGGTACCTAGTGAACCCCAAAATAGCTGGTAAATGGATGTTCATCCCACTAAAAATGTATGGATGTTTCAGAGTGATATCCCATGATAATCCTGTTTTACCCTATGAGCCCAGTTTCTAGATCCAACTAAAAAAAACACATCCTATGTCCATTCAAAATCGCATAAAATCGTAACCCCGAAAAAGATTCAGAGTTGATATAGAGTTGATAGAGTTTTTCCAGGATGGTCGTTGGATGATATATACCTCACAAAAAAATCCAGGATTTTCCAGCTTTTTTCGGCATCAACTTGGGGATCAGTCGAAAAACCCATGGCTTTTTGGGCCTGGACCGGGACCGCCGCCGCACCTTCTGGTCGTGTGCTTCCTTTGCAGCGGTGCCAGGATTCTCGGCAGCCATCTTTCTACGAAGCCTGGCGGAGCGGAGCGATTCTCAGAGCGGAACGACGAGCGGAACGGAGGGATACCAGGTTTCTGAAGTCCCAAAAAGCATGGGGATGGGAAGTACCATTGGAAAACCAGGAAAAAGAGCAAATGTCATGGAATTCATAGCTGATTTGTGACCGCTAAGTTGACTTGTAATGTGGTTAACTATGGTTTATGGGGATATAACATGATAAGACTATAGTTAATAGGGTTATAAACCAACATTCACATCACGGGGGGGCCTCACCTCCAATTGTTTTTGGCTTTGGGCTTCTTTTCATGGTTCATGTAGAATTCCATGAAACTGGAACCATTTTCGAGTAATTCTTCCCACCAGGCTTTCTGCCGAGGCCTGAAGGAAAGGGCATAAATGGGATTAGCCTCTGGTAATTTGTTACATAGCTATTGAAGTCATGGCCATAGAAATAGTTGATTTACCCAGCTATAAAATGGTGATTTTCCATAGTTATGTTAGTTTAACTATGGGAAAAAAAATAATGGGTATTTCTATGTCCATGTTCCATAGATTTTGTTAATTTACCGGAGGGTAGCAACAAACGGAACCCCTAATGGTTGTCTCCGGTTGTCTCGACTCACCATGGTAAGCTGGAACGTCCTTGCGCGCGTTCGTTAAGCGCATCTATGTATCTTTGTAACACAGCAACCTCTAAACAGATAGAAACGTGATAAGTCCTACGAAAATAGTGATAAATATCGGTTCTATGTTTCTTGAGGTTACTATCTGGCAAGAGTCCCTACTTGGATTTGCTGAAGAAACCCGCCAAAAAATAGAAACATTCACCAAAAACATTCCCCAGGTACTGAATTTCTCACTGCAAAAATCCCGAATTTCTCATCGGCTAAAAGCAACATACGGCTGCTTTTTCTTCCCACAATTTGCTGATTTAATCCATCTTTTCTGATTATCCTTTAATGTCAACCATGGTTTATTAATTAGGGTGTACTCCTCCAATAGTAATAATCTAATACTTAATGGTACCCTCCCAATTAAACAGCCTAGGGGTTTATTAATCCAGGGTTGACATTATTGACTAATTAACTATATTTAGAAAGTACCATAAACCATAGTGACACTGTTTTTTTTTGAAAATCCAACTTAGCGATTTCATAAATCAACATTAAAATCCCATGAAATTCACATGGGTCTGTCTGAAAATAATAGTGTATCTCATATTCCAATGGATTATCACCATGTTCCCCATTCAAATTACTATTTGTGGGTATCCCCTATTTTCAGACAAACCCACATCTTTCTTGGTTAGTTCGCTCTTTTCCCATGGCTTTTCCTCCAGTTCTTCACACCCACGGTGCTCTCGTTGCGCACCCGACTGATGTGCCAACGGCACCGTTGGAAACCCGGTGGAATCGCCCCGAAACGCTGCGGAAAGCGGCAGTTGCCACGTTTGACTACCAGGTACCCCGCCTATAACTATGATATAATGACCAGGATATAGACTTATTCAATGGATTCTAGTATTATTTATCGATTTACAATGGATTATAATAATGGACTATTCAAAGAATATCAAGTATTATGTACAATAGTATTATCCATGAATAATATCATGTATTCAATGACTATGATTATAATGATCATTATTCCATGGATTTTAGTATGATTTAATAGGATATACAACCAGCTTGCTGGGATATGGAATGGTGATTGTACTGGATTCTCAATGGATAAAGCAATGCCAATAACTCCCATAAGTTGGGATATGGGGCCCCAATATGCCACAATAACTATTGTTATATATATATAAATATATATCACTTGTAACTGGAATTGCACCCCTCGGCAGGCTCAATGTTTCTGTGGAACCTCTGTAGTTTCCGTTCTCTCTGTTACTTTTTGATAAACTAATCTATCTTGCCATTATATTCACTCTACTAACTCTACTACTTTTTCGAGATTCACTCGATTCTACCATCTGGGTATGACTAACATAGCGAACTAGAAAATCACCATGTTTAATAGGTAAACATAGGTAGACCATCTATTTCTATGGGCCATCTATACCATGGCTATGTTAAATAACCAGAGGCTATCTCCAGCCCCGGGATCACTGCTGAAAAAACCATCCCAAAAATCGAACCCGAAGCTCTCTGTCAGACTGGACTAACCCAGGTCTTCTTGAAATGGTGAAATTCAAAAAACGAGTTGATGGTTATATAATGGTTATATAAATGGTTATACATGGGTCATTAAATTTCCCCATTGAACATCACCCAACCATGAATGGTATATGGTCAATGCCATGGCTACTATAAGGTGATGTCCAATATTCCCAAAATGGGGCATTTACCAACCCCTGTGATGATTCATGGAACCGAAAAAAAAATATTGGTGATATCGTAACCCATGACGGATCCATGGTGCTGGTATATATGCTAACATGACTGGGGTATATTGATGGGATCCATGTTACCATATATAGCAGCACCATGGATCCTATGGGTAATGGTTCTATTGGCTACATCCTCAGTTTGTCGGTGATGTCGAAAAAATTGTTTCATGAAACCTCCATCTTTTTCCGGGTCATACCTACCAGGTGAAACTAGTAGGTCTCGACATGTCTCGACCATGCTAGTTGGGGCTGATTTATGGTGTCTATATTTTATGGATGTTTATACATGTTTATAATGGAAAAGGCTTGGCTTAAGCCCCCTCGCCCGTTCAGTTTTGGGGTTGGCTATAGCCTTAGCGGGTTCAGCCCGTGTCTACGAACCCGCGGGCTTGGACGTCTAGCACTTCAAGCCTTGCACCGGAAATTTGGTTGAGGGTAAACCAAGGATAAAACCCTGTCTCTCTGCGTGAGCTTGGCACTACTCATTGGTTTGGATTTACAGGCATCGATTTTATCTGCTTGTCAACTTCCATTTACAATCCTGTATTAGCTGGCTCTGCGGTCGCCGAGTACCGGAAATTTATATTTGGATTTTTCCGACTGTTTTGCGCGATTGAACTGGTCTTAGCCCTGATCGTGGCATTACATATCACAATTCTCCTTTTGGGGCCTCACCTCTGGTTTTAGTATATTTGAAATCCTAATTGATCTCTGCGTGCTGGGAGCCGCACACTGATCTTGGGACTTCATTTTCTATATCCTGGTGAATGCCTTTGTGGATATTCTATTTGGTCTTCCTCTTTGACATTGCGCAGAATTACGCCGACTTGGAGGAGAAGATTGAGAAGAGCCCGTGCGAAAGCAAGGCTGGCGTGGCACCTTCACCGAAGAGGCACCCATCTCCTTTCACGACAAGGGCTCGAACGGGTGTATTTTGCACTCAAAAGCCACCACTCCAAAGATCCGTATTTTCTGGCCAAGATCAAAACAGAAATGGAGCGGAAGCTGGATCCGTGGCGATGCCGCTACTGCATGAGGATGGTCAAGGGAGCGGCCAGTCAGTGCGGCGGCTGTCATCGTCATTGGGGACAATGTCAAGATACTTCCTACATCCATCAGCCACATCGACGTGCCCAGCAGTCAGGCTACGTGGATGGTTGGGAAGATGCACCATGGCAGCGGAACGATTATGGATGGCAGGATGGCCGATCCAAATCACCGAGGCAGCGAACTCAGAGCCCTCGTCAGAGGCAGCAGCGGCCGAAATCCCGGCCCAAGTATCAGTACAACCAGTACGAATATCCTCCGGAGGAGGAGCAATACAAGGGCAAAGGTATGGCCAAAGGAAAGGAAAGCTTTGCACCTATGCCGCCTTCTACGCAGTGGCTTTCTCCACCGCAGATGCCATCCTCTGTGGCCCCGGAGGCGAATGCTCCGTCGCTTTTAGACACCATGGTGGTTTCCATGAATACTTCGCCGACACTTCAGCCTTTCCCGAAGCCCAAGGCGCCCAAGGAGGATGCCGAGTTGGCCTCGCTGAAGATCATGTACAAGGAGCTCAAGGACAAGCCCAATTTGCCCGAAGATGTCCAGCAAGTTCTTCGGCATGCGGAAGCCACACTTCGCAAGGCCGATGCGAAATCCCACAAGCAGCTCATCGACCAGCTCAAGACAGCAAGGAAGAGACTTTCCGATCTCGACGAGCAGTGGGAGGCTTATCGAGTGCAGTGGGCTTCGTACATCGAGAAAGCTTCTCAACTATGGCTCTCACATGTGGAGGATTTCGAAACTGGCGAAACCAAGTTCGTGGAGAAACGGAAGGATTTGCTCCAGCACTTGCAGGACACCCGCCTTCGACTCCACGAAGTTCATATGCGAACCATGGAACAGGGCTCAGATGGTGCAGAAGAAGGAGGAGCAGATGTCGCTACTGCTCAGGAAGCATTAGATGCCGCGATGCAGTTCGAAGAACAGGAGACGCCTGTCCTCGATCAGGACTTTGCGAAGATCAAAAAGGAGCTCACGGGAGTTGTCAAGCAGGTGAAGGACACCATCGAGGACAAGCTCCGTGGCAGAGATCGGTCCAGATCTCGCTCCAAGAAGGAACCCGACGAAGTAGAGATTTTGGAGCCCGCGCCCAAGAGGACTCGGGACTCCGATTAGCCTCATGCCTCCATGTGTCCCATGTGGAAGCTCCCACCGAGTGCATTGCAGCGGAGGAGAGAGCCATGAGGCGATTCAAGAAGCTTGCTTTCTGGCCAACTGTGGAAGTTGAGGGTGTGACACCATCGTGGCCAGTTTCATGCTGCAAGCTTTGGTCTGACACGGACCATTTTGTTCCTTTTGCTGGAGAAGACCCCTTTGATGATGTTCTTCCCCTGCATTCAGTTCATGGAGAACATGACTTTTCTAGTGTTTGGGATGCACGTGAAAAAGCTCTGATTCTCGAATCTTCCATTCATGCGAACCTCTTTGCGATTGATTTTGATCCGGTGTCCAAATGGTGGGTGAAAGTGGCCTCCAACAGTTGCTTCTTCGATGATCCCTTACCGGCACAGTATGAGGTGATCTCAGAACCCTCTGTTTTGGAGCTGCACCATTTCGACAACCTACATTTTCCATCTCCACATGGCGACAGTTTGTATCTGAATGAGGAAGGCCACATTGAAGAGACCTCTGCTTTGGTAGATGTTCCTGATGATCTGGCTTCTTTCATGGAATTTGACCAACGAAATGTCAGTCAGCCATCAGGTGCCTCCTCATCAACTGAGCGGCCCAACCCTTTAGCTCAAATGTCCATATTTCCTCAGCCACTGCGCCAGTATCTTGAAGCTCTGCCAGTGCATGCAACTGGAGGCCGGCATCTCCGACTGCGTACCTGGTATTTGCATTTCTCTGATGCCCAATACTGGACTCAGTTTCGTTTCGTGGATTTGAGGAAACCAAGCACTCATTGGGCTCAGGACATTCTTAGTGCTTGGTCTGATCACCTCCGTGGTGACAGTACTCCTGCACTCTATCAGGTCTATCCTGACCTACATGACCGAGATGCATCTGGGCATGCTGCTCTGGTAGATTTGCTTGTTGTGCAAGGACCTCAACATTTACGTGGTGGCATTGCAACCGTGTATGTTCCAGGAACTGATGATTTCTACCATGTTGCGCTTGCACTCCCAGTTCATACGAGTGGGTTGGACATTTTGCACAAGGCTAGGCTGCAATTCCTTTTGCGTGACTATCAGTGCACAATTCGTCATGGGCGAGATGTCATTCCCGTTACACCTACACCATCGCATCAAGTTGAACATGGGCATTCCTTCACAATTTCATTTTCAGGCTCATCGCGATGCAGAGACTTCTGCAGGAAGTACAACTGGTCGGCCTTTGCCACAACCGCAAGCTTCAGCCAGTTCTCCCTCTTCCCACGAAGCCCATGAGTCTGAAATCTGGGGATCTGATGATGAAGTTATGGAAGGCGTCAGGGTTTACAGTCTGGGGCGCCCAACCTGCCACCTCTTTGTACGATGGACTACGTACAACACTGTATTGCTTGATGTTGTGCGCCAGCTTCGGGTCCCCCTGCGAGCCATTGTTGGGCTACACTATTTGGCAGCCCCAACGCACGATCAACATGCTGCTGAAGAGGGTCTCATCCTGCAGTATACTGATGATTTGCCTGTTGGCTCATCGGGGAAATTGACCTTGATTGACGTTGAGTTGCACTTCCACGAAGCAACACCAACAGTTGACCGCAAGGTTCACGTACTACCACAGAAGATCAAGCGAGATGACCTGCTCCATCATCTTCACCTGTATGATTATTGCCATGAACAACAAGATCGATGCAAAATCTATTGGAACAATCTTGAATGGGCTGTCGATGATCTTCGTGAAGGTGATGTCCACCATGGTCTTTATCTTCGGATCATTGTGCCTCCACCGCAAGATCAGATTGATGCTGCATTAGAGGAAGAGATCGAAGAGCTTGCAGAGGAGATCCAGACTCAGAGAGCAACCTCCCA